CTCCTTTACAGGTTAGCGCATGATTTGAAGAGTGGGTTGGGGCTACGGTGTACTTGGGGGAAGGGGGAAGGTCTATTACCTGAAACCACCAAAATTGGCAGGGGTCTATTGTACTGAACCACTGCTCATAACATAGATTACGAACAGCTGATTAAAAAATCTCACTTGTAGAGTCAGTACGGCATCTCGAATTGGAATCCAAGCGCTGACACTGGTATTCCTCAATCGCAGCTTTTCCACATCGTATGTTATGTAGCTAGAATTCCACAACTGAATCCGATAAGCTTTAGTTGGTGGCATACCGGTGGAGCTCAACTTTAATTCGACTCTTGAACTGCAAACTTCATTAGCTTCAATGAATGCAAACCTCTGTGGCACCCTGTAGCCTGTACGTGTATTTTTGCGTAGAGAGCAACCTCTTTTGGTACGTATCAGCTGCGACGTTTGCCTGCAGGCTACGATCGTAGTTACCCTGCAGACCCAGCTTGCTGCCATCAATGATCAACTGTAAGCGTATCTCTCTCTTTCAAATGAACAGTCGCTCGGGAAACCAACATGACAGACGCGATCCTTTTGTAGCCGGCCTGCGCGGATGTCTCCCCTTATGAACACTTCCTTCGCATTTATGTCGATCTCAATGGATAATCAGATTTTAAAGAAATGAAGACAAGTACATACCATCAACTTCGAGCCGACAGCCGCGAATTTCTCCGCTTCTATGGTCCCAAAGTACATGCCGTCAGTGTTCTGAAATATAAACAGCTCCAGTTGTTTGCATGCATATTTTTTTCAACTCTAGATCTGTGAAAAACGAGTAATTCTAGAACGAGGCAAGTTTGCAACAAAGTTTGCAACAACAACAGGTTTCAGTTGCTCATTTTATGTTTCTGCTTCTAATATGTAAAACGATTGGTGCCAGGTGAAACAAAAACGGGCTATCTCGAAAAATCGGTCTCAAAATTAGGCAGTTGCATGTGAAAAGAGTCAATTAGGTATGTGGCAACTTGCATAATATTGATTCAGAAGATTTCATTACGCTTTTACAATTATGGAGTTAAAGATGAGTTACCGGCAGTTGAGCTATGTTCCAAGAATTTGTCTCCCTTAGCACATTATCAAGAGTTTTCACTACTCCAACCAGTGACTCCGACGTATTGATATCGATTTCATGCAGTTGGGCCACAGCCTCATTGAGCTTCTAAAATTTCTTTTTTTTTTTGCAAGAAAGCTCAGATAGCGAATATTGCAGAGATTTCTGCTAGTGATTGCCTTCCTTTCGGAACAAAAATCATTGTTGGTTATCAACAGGACCTTAGCTAGATATTCATTCCTCGTATCCATGACCGTTTTTAATTTTTCGATTATTTCCGATGATGTCATACCATCAGACAACTGCAATCAATGAGAGAATGGAAATCGGCAAAACGAGTAAATGTTACCATTGCTTTATCGCCAACCATCAGGTTGACCACATCACTGAGCTGACTTGGCTGAAAACCGAGTTGGCAACTTTGCAGTGTAGGCAAATTGAGCTGATCACTTACCGACAACTTTGCCAAATGATCGACAATTTCGTTTCCAGACGGATCCGTATAATTTAGAGTAACGACCTCGTTTGTAATGTTACTCAGCTTCTTCGTTAGCTCAAAACGCTCTTGAGGAGAGAGTGTGATTTGCGTGTGTTCCTGTACCGTAAAGACTGTATTTTTGTGGAAACACACAAAAAAAAGAATTTCATAGACATCTCATTCGAGAGGCTCACTAGCTGAAAGATTAATTTCGCGTTCGAGATCGACACATACAGGGTGTCCCAAAAAGATGTGCACACTGTTTGA